CCTTGCCTAAAGATCATTTGTTCTAATTCTGGCATAACCTTTATATGCTTCAGTTAACCTGAAAGAATTCCTTTCTATAATATACCCTCCCTGGACTACAGATCAGCTGGTTTTAAGAGACTGAAACAGAATATATTATTGAGATTTGTGTGGTGTGGTATTGGTAACATTGAAATTGTTTCAATCAGTTCTTGAGGCATCAAGAATGGCAGAGATTCATTAAATATTCTGGCACTCAGTGGGGAAATGTACCACCTGCTATGGTACTGAGTCAATTGGACCATGAGGTGCCAGATGTAATCCAAGGGCTTTGTTGTTTTGGCTAAAGTCAGCTAGCCTGAATATTGCCCCCCAACCCCTTGTAAAAGAGAAGGGGGAACATACTGTGGTCAGACAGGGAATCTGAATGCTATTTAGTGACACCCTGCTGGAAAGTGTGCATTGGATGAGAGAAATGGTTGCAATCTTCTCCACTGCCCTTCTCTTGGCTTGCACACAACAAACAAAGGTCAGGAACAGAAGCAAAAGACTGCAGATGCTGGAAAAATTTAAGACTCAAAGTATACCTCAAGAAGAATCAGATCAGACTCAAAATGTTAACTGTCTTTCTTTCTCTCCAGGTGCTGCAAGACCTGCTGAGTTTCACCAGTATTGTGTTTGTGCCAGGAATAAGTATTGGATGATTGTCAGACTCATCATCTACAGCACTAAAAACTGGAAAGAGGGCAGGGAAAAGAAATAAGTTTTGAACAGGTCTGAGAAATATGAGATTGCAAGACTTCGTGTGTAAATGCACTTGCTCTTTCCTTACATGACATCTCACCCATCTACACCCAATATTCATCAGCATACACTCCATTTTTTGCTTTGATTTATTATTGTCACATGTGCCTAGGTAGAGTGAAAAGTTTGTTTTCCAAGCAGCACAGGCAGATCAAAACATACAAATCACAGAGTTATAGAACAGAGCAAGGATTACAAAGTTACGGCTGCAAGGAAGGTGCACGAATAGCAAGATCAACATTAGTTTTGAAATTTGAGAGGTCCAGTCAGAAGTCTAATTACAGTGGGTAAGCTGTTCTTGAATCTGTTGGTACGTGTGTTTAAGCTTTTGTATCTTCTGCCTGACAGAAGAGGTTGGAAGAGATTATAACCAGGGTATTGGTTGCAAATTTTAAATCAGTTCTATTCCAGTTCTAGGTAATTTCTAACCAACATGTTCAGTAATGTTGTAAAAGACACCTGCAACAAATGAAACTTGAACTCAAGCCTCCTGGCTCAGAGGTAGGGACACTACCAAAGACCACACATGTTCTCTATTCCCGTTCGATAATTCATTAATTCCGAACACTTGATCTGAAGTGCAGAATTGAATCCTTAATTCAAGCCTTCTAACTGTTCTCTTTGAATGCCTACCTCCCTAAAAATGATCACCACCTCAATAGACACTAACTGACCTGCTTCGTGTCTCCAAAATATAATATTCCTATTTACATTTTGCTCAACCTTCACAGGGCTGTCAATAATCAATGTCTAGCTCTTCAGTTAAAATGCATGCTGTCACCTAATTTCCCGATCAAAATTCCCAACGGCATCTTGATGTTTTCATAAATTTGCAATGATAAGGCCCACCAAGTGAAAAAAAAAGTGAGCTAAGAAAAATATCGACTGACACAAACAAGAAGTTAACAGTACTTTAGCAACAATGACATCCTTAACAACATATCCTAGGCAACTGGGAAGAAGAAAAAAGTTTGATACAAACCAAACTTTGCCACAATCCCATAAAATCTATCTGCAAAAACAATCTGGAATGCAGTTTTGTGTCAATCAAACTCCAGAATAAGGTATACAAACATTTTAAAAACTTTGAAAAAAGTTTCGGACACACCTTATTAGAAAGGCTTAACAAATAACTGATGGGAGGACAATGATTACATTTAACAAAGAGAGCTATAAGAAGCAAAGCCCTGAATATATTGCAGCAACCGGTCAATTGAATGACAAGGGAGTTCAAAACTGGAGCTGTTTGCTGCATCCCCATTGAGCAAGTTAATATATATATATTTTCTTTAAAAAGCAGTAAGTCAAAGTAAAGATGAATGTTTCACATGCAGCAGTCGTGCAGCTACATCGCCAAGCATCGCCTTACCTGGCCCAGGCAAATGTCTGAATTGCATTTAGAATATTTGTATAAATAAGCTTATAAATGAAATAGATTGAATTGATTTCCCGGAACTATAGTTAGCCTTAAAAGGTTGACTAGTCCAATACAGATAATAATTTTGTGTATCGCTTAAAAGATGAAAAAATTCCGGTTTCGGCAGTCATGCATTTTCAAATTACCTGATATTTCTAGGCATGCAGTGCCTCCTTGTGGATAAGAAAATATTAACACTGAATGGAAACAGTATACTCAAGTGCAAGTTTTTTTTCCCCCAACTGAACACACTCATGTATAATCAGGCATTTATGGTTGAGTTAAAAAGGAATTTGTAACTGTTACCTTCATACACACCTTTCCTTACATTTTCTGCTCATTGGATTCAAATGTCAAATGCATTTTAAGGACATTTTGTTTTACATTAATACTTCAAAATTAAGTTTTGGTGAACACAATGCATGTATTGAATAAAAACTACCAGTTCTTTAAAATTAAATGCCTTTGAAAAGGCAGTATAATCAAGAATTCACGTTGCAGTCAGATTCTTCTCCTACTTCTCTGGCACCCTTTAACAAAGAATTCTGATTTGGAACTCGTTACTAGAACACAATCACAGCATGAACCATTCTAACCAGAGATATTTCACTGTTCACTACCAGAAAGATATAGAGAAAAATTGAATAACCAGGTAAAATAAAACTTCCCTATCCCACAACTGTAACTCTTCATATGCACATTACCAATATATAACTTGGAGATTACTTTATCACAGATTACTAAGCAATCTATTCTGTTAATATATAGTATTCAAAACAAGACAGTGCACTTGAGAAATTAGGGCTTCTTACACTGGACCAGAGAAAGGTAAGGGGTGCAACAGTGAAATATTGCTGTAAATGCTGTAACTACTCAGCAAATTAGACAGCATCTGTGAAGTGAGAAACTGAATTAACGTTTCAGGTCAATTAACTTATCATAAAATTTGATGGAATATCAGCAATCTGAAATGTTAACTCTGTTTATCTCCACAAAGTTAAGGACCTAAAAACAGAACTAAAGACTATGAAGGATTGTGGGAAGGTAAATACTGACTGTCTGCTTCCATTGGACATCTCGATAACAGATAAAATTGCACTCTGCATTATTGACAGAATAGGATAGAAACCTAAATGGCAGAAAAACTGGTCATTTTACAACATGGAAACTTAAAATAATTTAAGAAAACTTGATGCAAAAAGAAGAATAACATTATATGCAGAATTATTGTTTAGAATGAAATGATTTGCCCCAAATTATTGTTGGAGCAGCTCATAAATGTTCCTAAAATATAATTTTGATGTTTTATGAATACAGAAATGTTTAAAGAGGAGGATATAAGCATATGTGATTAAACTAGGTGGAGAAAAATACTCAAAATATGGCTGGGTTTTGTGCCACATATAACTCTATTCTATCTCATTAATCATGCAGAAATTATTTTCATCTGTCTCAGGCAACCCATGTCTTTAATTCAAAGTGGCTTATTTCAAATTATACCATAATTTAATTTAGACCTACTAAATTTGCTGAATTATTTGGACTGCTTGGTGTGAGCTTTTAGATAATTCAAATTTTACAACGTAATGGAGGCTGAGGGGTTACTTTATAGAGGTTTATAAAATCATGAGGGGCATGGATAGGGTAAATAGATAAGGTCTTTTCCCCAGGTGGGGAGTCCAAAGCTAGAGAGCACAGGTTTAAGGTGAAAGGGGAAAGATTTAAATGGAACTTAAGGGGCAAATTTTTCACACAGAGGGTGTTGCGTGTATGGAATGAGCTGCCAGAGGAAGTCGTGGAGGCTGGTACAATTACAACAGTCAAAAGGCATCTGGACGGGTATATGAATAGGAAGGGCTTAGAGGGATTTGGGCCAAATGCTGGCAAATAGGACTAAATTTATTTAGAATATTTGTTCGGCATGGACGAGTTGGATCAAAAGGTTTATTTCTGTGATGTATATCTACGACTCAATAACTGTCTGTAAATATGGTTATCACCATATATTACCACTAGGTGGTGACCTTTAGTAACAAACAAATTTGAGAAGGCAGCAACGAAAGTCGTACAGGTCAAAAAATATAAACATTTAATGGTCCAAAGACATCATTTCCTCAAAGCAGCAGAGAAGTCATCTCAGAGAACCAAAAGGCAAGTATTTGATTTGTGTTCCTTCAGAAAGGACAAGTAATATTAAAGGGAAGGTTAATAGCACATCACTTGCATACCCCCGCACATTCACAGAGATTTAAAAATGTATTACATCTTACAACAGATAAAGAAAGGAGAACAAGTCAATAACACAAAATAATCTTGTGAAAGATGATTTATTATCTGGAAGTTGTAAAATGAAAGGGAGTTTTTAAATGTTCAAAAAGGCCAATATTTTTCCTCATAAAAAAAATTGAGCGATTCTTTTGAACTTTTGAAATTGTGCTTTGTTAACAGTGCAATTGGCAAGTTGGCCTTGCAATACGGTTAATTTGTGAATGACTCTTGAGACCGGCTCTGCTGAACAGGGTGATGTAAGAAAGAATATGTAATTGTAAGCTAGTGCACTCAGCTTTTCGTCTCAGTCCATACGCTAGTAAAATAGTTATGTTAGTAATACAAGACTATGATCTCTTAACTATATTCAGGAACGCCCCAGAGAAGATGCACACAACTATTGCTTCCGCCACAAACCTAATTGTTAAATCAAAACTAAAATATCTTTTAAAAATCATATGTAGTAAAGTATTTATCTACCTGAACCAGAGAAAATTAAGCCTTCTGTGTCCTAGCTAAACAGAATCCTTACCTCTCCTGTGGTCAGAAGATACACTGGTGTCAGAGGTGGAACTTGACTAAGTTCACAGTTAAGTTGCAAATATGTCAGAATTTCTGTCAGTACTTCATATCGCAGTGCATTGCTCAGTTTAAGTGCTCTGAAATCCTGCTGCATTTGGGTCTCTTTTGAATCAGGAGGAATTTCAAGATGAACCTGTATGGGTATATGCACAACCAAAAACGTCAACAAAAAAAACTCAAATAACTCCCTAGCAATGTCTATAATTTCCAAGGTTTTGTTCAGGAAGGGGATTTTCCTTCAAATTCACTCTCTCCCACACCACCTCTACTTTTGTTTTATTATAGATTCCTTTGCCTCCTATGACTAGCCACTTACAGCCAACAAAATAACAATCTCAGAGTATTCAATGCCCCACCTCATCTAATTATTGACTACTTCTATGATCAGGTTAAATAGGAATAAGTGAAGAGAACAAAGAAAGCAACTGTAGCAGAAAATTTGGTTGCTAGGAGTAAGTGAAGTCAAAGTATTGCAGAATAACTTATAAGGTATGTTTGACAAACTTATCAGAAAAAGATTTATTTCTCCTTTTTTAAGAATAGGACATCACTCCCTTACTAAATTTCCATCAGGACAGAAACAGGCAAGGGACTAAATTAATCTAACAAATAAACAATATTTCTTTCACAAAAATATAAATTTTAACCATCATACCTGGCAGAGCACAGCTTCTCCTCCATTTTCTCCATAAGGTAAACGTACAATTACTATGTCCTTTTCAGGATTAGCCAAACTCCCCCATAGCTCAAGATCTTCTGTGGCTTCCTCTGCATTTTTGGTTTCTCTTAAGAATGCTTTGCCACTGGTAAAAGCATGGAGGGTTATGTCCTTGCTGTCAGACTTAGTGAAGAACCATCTGTGAATCTTTCCTTTCAGTTCTTTTTTGACAGCTACTTTTATCTCACCAAAAGAAAATGATGTACACAGTCCCAAGATCTTCCCACCTTTGGATAGGTAGGTCATGAACTTTGCATGAATCTGTTCAGGCACTGGATCATCACACGCCACAACCAGCAATAGAGAATTATCAACCCAAGGAACTTTTAGAACCTGCTCTTCTAGAAGGGGATAGATCACATAGCTTTCATTGTTAAGGCAATCCAAAAGGACGGATTTTATTTGCTGAAATTTTACCAAGTACTGACTGTAATCAGAGCCAACATAGATCAATACATTGGGAGGTTTCCCATTCTTGTTACTTTGTCCTGTGTTTATTGTAAAATTGTCCTCCCCAACCACTGTTTCATCAGAGCTTTCACAATAATCATCAGGGAGGTCCAGTAGGTTTTCTGCCGAGGCATATTTGACTGACTCAATGGTGCTGTTTTCCAACTCCAAACACTCAGAGCAACTGGCAAGGTGAAGGCAATAGCCTTCGTGTTCCTCGAGTTCCTTTGCCTCTTGGGTGATATGAAACTCTTTATTTTGAATGGCCTTAAGTTCATCCATTTCTGGTTGACAAAGTTTCTCAGTAGAACCAACTGTACTGCAGGTATCACCACATGAACCCACATTTTGCTCAGTCACTGGTTTGATTAAAGTACTTTTATGACATGGTTCCATTGCAATATCAAGATCCTGGAGATGACCAAGCTCCTGCCACTCTTTTTGAAACCCAACACTTGATTCCAGCAATTTCATTTGAACAGATTCATTGAGCTGTAGAGCTGAAAGAAATACACATGCACTTGAAATCAGCAACATTGAGTGATACAATCCAACGTATTCCTAAATACAATGTAATCAAATATTAGTCAGGAAGCATCCCAAAGCATTTTCCAATTGTAGTGTCAAAGATTACATAGGAAGTAAAAATTTTAATCTGATCAAAAAAATTACCTTATGGACAGAGAAAAGCAATCCCAATTTTTGCAAACAAATTTATTGGTCCTAGACTGGATTTCTGCCTCTGCCCCACAACAAACTAAAATGTATTCCAAATTTCTTCGATCATCTGCTTTGCTCACTAACTTTTAAGAACCAACATAAGAGCAGCATTTATGTCAGCCAGTCAACAAAATAACTGAAATAACTTCCATCATAGATAAACAGGAGGCTGAAAGAACACAGCAAGCCAGGCAGCATCTAGAAGAAAGGAGCAGTCGATGTTTTAGGTATTACCCTTCTTCAGGACTTAAAGGATACCCATTTTGAAGAAGTTCTCTGCCTCCCAGTCCTGAAGAAGAGTAATACCTGAAACGTTGACTGCTCCTTTCCTCCAGATGTTGCTTGGCTGTCTGTGTTCTTCCAGCCTCCTGTTTGTCTACTTTGGATTCCAGCATCTGCAGTTGTTTTGTCGTTAATCGAAATAACTTCAGTGCTAATTGAGCTGAGCAAACTATTCTCAACAGTCCAAGTCATCTTACCATTTATACAGTCTCAATGGCTTTTAAACCTCTACTATTTGGGTCAGCTCCAATGGCACAGACATAAACTGGTAATCCAGTTATCCTTAGCAGGTACTTCAGTCAATCTCAAGAGCTCATTACAAATTATTTGATAATCTCAGCGCATTATGTAACATCCAATGATATACAGTAAAGGCTGTTAAGACTAGTTCATGATCTGAAAGTTTCCTGAGGTATCAGAAACCACCACATAGTTATATATAAAAGAAATGTTAAAAGTTTTAAGTTATTTTAGTTTTCTCCATTAGGAATACTTTGCCTACCTCAGTATTAACATGATGATCATAAGTACTTGCCAGATGACCAATACCAAATCCATATCAACTGTTTATTTTTGTAAATATTGTTTCATTTGGTGTTTAAAAGAGTTATTTACTTCACATTAAATGGGCAACTTATTTGAATCAAATTGCTGAAGACTGACATCTGTGATGCTAGTGAGCTCAGGATGAAGCTAGGATGACCATCAACAGATGGCTCGATCATATTAAGTGTGGAGCTGGAGGAACACAGCAGGTCAGGCAGCATCAGAGGAGCAGGAAAGTTGTCGTTTCGGGTCAGGACCATTCTTCTGAAATGGGGAGGGGGAACAGAGCTCAGAAATAAATAGAGGAGGGGTGGGGCTGGGGAAGGTATGTGGGATGGTGATAGGTGAATGCGGGCAGGGAGTGGTGGGGATTGGTCAGTGAGGTGGAAGGGCGGATAAGTGGGAGAGAAGATGGACAGGTTGTGTCAGGTCAAGGAGGCGGGGATGAGAGGGAGGGTTGGTCATGCAATGAGGCCGGGTAGTGGGGAGATTTTGAAACTGGTGAAATCCATGTTTAGGCCATTGGGCTGCAGGCTCCCGAGGCGGAATATGAGGTGCTGCTCCTCCAGTTTGCGGGTAGTGTCATTGCAACACTGGAGGAGGCCCAGGATGGACATGGATTTCTCCCCACTCCCGGCCTCATCCGATGTCCAACCATCCCTCTCATCCCCGCCTCCTTGACCTGACACAATCTATCCATCTTCTCTCCCACCTATCCACCCCTCCCACCTAAGTGACCAATCCCCACCACTCCCTACCTGCCTTCACCTATCACCATTCCACCTAACTTCCCCAGCCCCACCCCTCCTCTCTCCATTTATTTATGAGCTCCCTAGCCCCTCCCCATTTCAGAAGAAGGGTCCCAAGCCAAAATGTCAACTTTCCTGCTCCTCTGATGCTGCCCGACCTGCTGTGTTCCTCCAGCTCCACACTGTGTTATCTCTGACTCCAGCATCTGCAGTTCTTGCTATCTCTGAGTCAATCATATTAAGGATGGGAATATTTGATTATTCTCCTCTTTCCATTAGTTCCTTAGTTGTGCACAACTATTCATGACGAGATATAGTGCAACCAGCATCACCATATTGGCAGAGATAACAAGGTGTAGAGCTGGATGAACACAGCAGGCCAAGCAGCATCAGAGGAACAGGAAGGCTGACGTTTTGGGCCTACATCCTTCTTCCTATGAGAGGGTTGCAGTGGGAGAGAGATCCACTGAGGTTTTTCCGGAGGGAGGAGGGTAACTTCTTCAGGGTAGGCATCCTTAGAAGAGGCTTCGCAGTGGGGTTAAAATTGTTTCAGAGATAGTAGGAACTGCAGATGCTGGAGAATCTGAGATAACAAGGTGTAGAGCTGGATGAATACAGGAGGCCAAGCAGCATCAGAGGAGCAGGAAGGCTGACGTTTCGGGCCCAGTCTAGGCACAAGTCAGGAGTGTGATGGAATACTCCCCACTTGCCCGAATGAATGCAGTCCCAACAACACCTAAGAATCTTGACATCATCCAGGACAAAGCAGATTACTTGATTGGAACTACATCCACAGGCATCCACTCCCTCCATCACTGACGCTCAGTAGCAGCAGCGTGTACTATCTACAAGATGCACTGCAGAAATTCACCAAAGATCCTCAGACAACACCTTCCAAACCCACAAACACTTCCATCTAGAAGGATAAGGGCAGCAGATATATGAGAACACCAGCACTTCAACTTCCCCTCCAAGCCACCCACCATCCTGACTTGGAAATATATCGCCATTCCTTTACTGTCGCTGGGTCAAAATCTTGGAATTTCCTCCCTAATAGCATTGTGGGTTAACCCATAGCAGGTGGGCTGCAGCAGTTCAAGAAGGCAGCTCACCACCACTTTCTCAAGGGCAACTAGGGATGGGTAATAAACACTGGCCAGCCAGCAACATCCACATTCCACAAATGAACTAAATTAACATTGCTCCTCCACAAACAGTAGCAGTATTGCATGCTATCTACACGATGCACTCCAGAAATTCACAAAGGATCATGAGACAATGCCTTCCAAACTCATGACCACTACCATCTGGAAGGACAACAGCAGAGGATACAGGGGAACACCACCACTTTCAAGCTCCACTCCAAACCGCTCACTATACTGACTTGGAAATATATCGCCATTCCTTCACTGTCACTTGGTTAAAATCCTGGAAAATCCTCCCTAATGCTGTTGTGGATCTACCTACAGCAAATGGACTGCAGCAATTCTCAAGTGTAACTCAGGTTGGACAATAAATGCTGGGCCAGCCAGTAAAGCCAACACCCCATGAATGAACAAAACAAAACTGGATACAGTACCTGTTGAAAGTGAAGTGCATGCTCACAATTATATAGATAGTGCCTCCCAACAAACACTCATTATTAATGCTCACAAAACAAAACAATTAGACTTACTGAATGAAGAAAGGTGCTACAACATTTGAAGTCATATCCCAGGATTATTCACTATCGGGAAAGCATTGGAATAAAACCTGGTAAAATGGTCTGAAATAACTCCCCAGAGGCCAGTATCCCGTCACCAAGTCATCCTTTATTCATACATGGAAAGTCCTTGACTCTGATCCAGCTCCCTCAGGGACAGCTCTCAAAGTGTCAGGATGTCTGATAATCCTGTTCTTATCTGTCAACTAGCGCTCATTCCCGATCAGGGAATTCTTATTCTATGAGGTCCATCTGGCTGACATCTTTACAATCACTAACTTCCACACTCCCACCCCCACCCAGAGTCCAAGGACATAGGTTGGCTCTTTTTTTGTAGCTCCTCCTGGAGCATTTTAGCACTGGGTCAGGTTCCTCCAACTCTGCCTCGAATACTGGCAGTGTGTAACACATATAGCTCACCACTTGCACCCCAGAGCATCTTGGAAGAAATTCATTCTATTCTTCCAGCGGCAAAGAGCGTCGAAGTGATGACATCCGCCATGTCCATCTCAGATTCCGAGGTCTCTTCAACAGTTGAGAGGCAGGAATAACATGCAGGTTCCACCGGCATTTCCAAATGTTCCAAGGAGCCGGGCATGTTTTGCTCCTGTCCTGTTTGTGCGTTTGCAGCTTTCACATGGTTCACTTGCTTGTTCAGGACCATCATACTTACCCAAACTTTATACGTCACTGGACCTGACCTTGTGTCGACCAGGCCTCTTACCCATGCAGGCTGCCATTCCCTGGTTCCTACACCAATCTTTGCCCATTGAAGTAAACTGTCTCTTTCGCTTAGCAGATTCTTGGTGTCCACACTGGCATTCTTGATGCCATTTCATCCCTCCCCACCTCAGGTCCAGGAAAATCAGATTTAACCTGGTGTGGAATTGTCTGCCATTAGCAACACTGCTGGAGCTATTCCTGTAGTTGCATAAGGGGTGGTTCTATGATCATACAGGAATACGGACAGTTTGGTATCAAGTGAAGGTGTAGGCTAGTTTTTTTTAAAGCCTGGTTTCAAAGTTTGGACTGCTGTTTCTGCCAAACTATTGAATGATGGAGAGTATGGAGCTGACCTTACGTTGAATGCCATTCGACTTTAGGAAATACTCAAATTCCCTGCAGGTAGATGATAGCCTGTTATCTGTGACCAACACTTTTGGAAGTCGTGTATTGCAAAAGATGCACACGGTTTTTCTATCGTCGTACCCACATTTGACGAATATACTCTACACACGTCCAGTGGGCATCCACAATGACAAAGAACGTTCAGCCCATGAAAGGACCTGCATAGTCGATGTGTGAGTGAGTTCTGGGTGTACCCGGCCATTCCCATGAATGCGGGGAACTGTCGATGGTAATTTTTGTACTTGTTGACACTCAGGGCACTGCTCCATCAATAGGGTTATGTCTGCATCCAATCCTGGCCACCAGACATAACTTCACGGCAACATCTTCATTTTGGACATCCTGCACCATCCTGGTGGAGTTCAGCCAGAATCTGGCAGCAACTTTTGCTCAGGACAATCATTCTTATGCCGTCCTTCACTGTGATCCGGTCTCTCTGGGTCCAAAAAGGTTTCAATTCCAGTTGTGACAGTTTCCCCCATCTCCACCAGTTGTTTCAGTTTTGCCAGGACTGGATCTTTCTGCATCCAAAGTCTGATACTGTCAGCTGTGACTGAAAGGGTATTCAGAAAATTTAAAACCATTACAGACCCTTTCAGTGGCTGTAACACCAGTCAGCAAGAGGCAGCTCAATGCATCTGCTACTTAGCCTCCCAGGCTTAGTATTTAGTACTTAGTATTAGAGTACACCACTGAATTTGGCTTGAAGCTATGAGCTGAACAGACTTGTCCTCTTTAAGTAGACCTAGCATGGGTTTGTGGTCCATTACAAATTTACACCCATAAAAGGTATTGATGGAACTGCCTGATTCCAAATATGACCATCAAACCTTCTTTCTCTATCTAGGCATATTGACGCTCTACATTAACAGAAGTCCTGAATGCATACGCTATTGGGCATTCCTCTCCACTAGGCCATCTATGAACTAATATTGTCCCAATGCCGTACGGGGAGGCATTGCATGTCAATATTAGATCTTGTGTGGAATTACAGTGTGTCAACACCTGAGAGGATGACAGCTGTTTCTTCAGCTCCCTGAAAGCTACGGCTTGGCTATGCGACCATAGCGACCAAAAGAGGTTGACCCCTCTTTTAAGAGTTGATGGAAAGGTGCCAGGTTGGAGGCCAGGTTACATATGAACTTTCCATAAAAATTCACCAGTGCAAAGGAAGTCCTAAGCTCTGGTGCAGTCATGGGAGCCAGGACACCTTTGATTGCGCTTACTTTACCTTACAATTGGTGCAACCTACTCTTGTCAACTCTGTAGCCCAAGTAGGTCACTTGGGGTTCTGAGAACACACACTTTTCCCTTCTAAGGCATATCCCCGCCTTGGAGAATCATCTAAAGACTATGTTCAAACTCTCTAAGTGCTCCTTTTTGGTCTTCCGTTATTAGCATGTCATCTAGATAAATGGCGACCTGGGGTAGCCTTCATGAAAGTTCTCCATCATCTGCTGAAAAATTGCACAGGCTGACAACTACCAGTATCCTATACTGGTACAAATCCTTATGCGCATTAATTGTGGCATACTTCTGGGAATCCTCATCTAACTGCAATTACCGTGACTCATGTCCAACTTCACGAAGGACAGACTCCTGTTAGCTTTGCTTTAAGTCCTCTATGCAAGGGTTTGGATATTTATGCAGCTGCGAAAAGCGATCTACCGTTTGTTTAAAATCCCCACAAACTGACCCATTGGGCTTCACAATCCGTATGACGGGTGGTGCCCATTCCACAAACTGGGCTGGTTTGATGATTCCCTTGCTGTCCAGCCTTCTGATTTCTGCTTTTTTTTTGCCTGTAAGGCAAATTGCACTGGGCAGGATCTTGCAGAATCATGGAATTGCTTCCTGGTCAACATGCAAAGTGGCCTTGGCTCCTTTGATAGCATCCAGACCTTCCTGAAAAACTTCTGGGTATTTAGTTAGATCTTCACTCAGGCAGCCATTTTCTAATCAAAAAATGTTGAGCCAATTTAGCTGAATCTTTCTCAACCAATTTTGTCCTATCAAGCTTGGGCCCGAGCCTTTTACTACAATCAATGGTAAATGAACCAGCCCCTTCTCATTAGAGAAGGGAACCAAAGTCGTGCCTTTAATCTGAAAACGTTCCCTAGTATAGATTTTCAGTCTAGCCGACGTCTTGCGTGAACTTAAGGGTTGGAGTCCAGAGAGAAATTTTGCTGAAGACTAGTTCTGTGATTACTGAAACGCCACACCAATATCAATCTCCAACAGAACCAGGTGAAAATTTAATTGGTCGTTTATTTTTGATTGGTTCTGATTTGGATGTTCCTAAGCAATTTAACTGTTCCAAACTAGATGTAGGTGGACTTTCCACGGTGTGAACTCTCTTGGATACCGGTCTGAGAGTTCGCTTGCTCAAATTAGGTCTTGTGGGACTCTTCTGCGGTCTCAAGTCTGCATGTTGGCAATAACTATAATGGCTTACTATCCAGATCCTGAAGAAAATTGTAGCCATTTGGCAGAGGCTTGGCTTTGTTTTGTGGTTTTGCTGTGGGAAAACTTCTGTTCAAGATATGTCCTGAGTGAGATTTTGCAACTTCTTTCACTCAAGTCATGTTACCCAGCTCAGCAAGACTGGCAAGGGTGTCCACTTCCAACAGAATACCCTGCAGCTCAGATGGTCCACTTGCCAAATTTTCCAATGATGAAGCCAGTTGTAGTACTTGTTTGAAGTCTAGTTGGACTTCAGCTAGTAGGCACTTGTGCTTGGCTACATCATTAATCCCACATTCTAAATGGCCCTACAGCACCTCTAAAGGGGTTAAATCAAAGTCACATGCCTCTGCCAGTCATCTTAACCTAGTCAAAAATCCCAGTATGGATTCCCTTGATTCTTGAAGAGACAGTAAAAACTATACCATTTCAGAATTAGAGGAGTCTTGCGGTCATAATATGTGTTTTCTAAACCCTTCAACTCATGAATGGTTTTAGTATCTTGTGCCTCAGGGAAAGTTAGGCTCCTATAAGCGAAAAGCTGCAGGTCCATAAGCTGTCAGGAGAACTATTCGTTGCTTTTCACCTGCCCCAACATCATTTGCCCAGAAAAAAAATAATGTATTCTTCCCATTCTTTCCACATGGGCCCAGTCGACAGCAGGGTCAAATGAGTCAAGCTTCCCAAATAATGGCATGATGCAAGCAATTCTCACCCCAACTCAAAGACAACTGTTGCAAGCTAGTTTCTTCAGGACATATCCCACACTCACTGATAATGAAATAACTCCTGAGAGGCTGGTATCCCATCGCCAAGTCACTGTTTATTTACACATAGAGAGTCCTTGACAGTGATCAAGCTTCCTCAGAGCCAGAGTGAGAGGATGTCTGACAATCCTGTTTTAATGTGTCAGCCAGGACTCTTCGATTGGACCAGATTAACAGCCCCAATCAGGGAACTCATATCCTATGAGGTCCACCCAGCTGATCTCTTTACAATCGTTACATGGTCCTTAAACTTTTATTAATGTCATCTCATTCTTAACAGAGGCTCAGTTCCTCCTAAGTGTCTGAATGTAAAAACAACTTTGTAAATTACCAAAAAACAATTACTTACTGTAAATATGTATTAAATAAAACAAATAACTTAAACTCTCACAGACTTGATTTAAAATGTGGACAGAAGATAGAAACAAGAATTTAGGGAAAAAAATTATTGCAGATGCTGGAATCTGTACTGAAAACAGCGGGTCAGACAGCATCCTTGGCGCGACAGCAAGCTAACGTTTCAAGTCTAGATGACTTCATCAGAGCTGAAGTGAAGTGTGGAGTGGAAATCATTTATGCTATAGCTGGGGGGAGGGACATGTGGGGCTAGTGGATGTAGGGTGCTGGTAGGGAAAAGATGTTGATAGTTCAAATTAAGTGATCAGAATGTGAGAATGGTCTCTCCTGCCAGACTAGAAAGAACAGTAACTGGGATGTTGAAGTCCATATTAGGTCGCCTTTAAATTCTGAACCGTTTCTTCCTTTTCTTTTAGCTTGTTATCATGTCCTCCCCTCCCCCCATCCCAGTCACTGTCCTTTCAAGTCTGGCAGGAGACACTCCATTGTTCTGCCATTCTCACATTCTGATCACTTAAACTGAACTATCAACATCTTTTCTCCACCAGCACCCTACACCTATTACCCCACAACCCCCCTCACAAACTATAGCATAAATGCTCTCTCCTCCATACTTCATTTCAGCTCTGATGAAGAGTCATCTCTCCCCAGAGATATGAATTTCTTTGGTTGCCACATATAACCACAATATAAAAGTGTTAATGTCAAATTCAAGAAAAGAAACATGCTTGCAAACTTATGAGAAACACTAAACATTGGAAGTCTTTTCAAAGCTGTTTACAATGTCTCTACAAATGGTCACCAATTAAACTCTTACCCAAGAGCTTTAAATAAATGCAGTTAATGCAACTAAAATTCTGAAACCTGAAGCTAACTCAAATAAATGCAAAAAAGGCACTCACAAACGATTTTTTGAGGTACCATGCCATTATCCATCTGTAGTCTGTTCTCCATGAAGGCAACACCAAGCCTGCTAAAATCATCCACATTTGCTTCAGCAATTAGTTTGTATGGGTTCCCAAGCAAATATGCCAATGGTACACATAAGTCAGAATACCTTAAAATCTACAGGAAAAGAAATACAATTGTCTGGTAAAAAAAATACAACTTTAAATAATTTCAAAATTCTGCCAAAACTAACATGGTCACTTTACTTCCACTGAAAATACTGCAGCAGAAATATCTGGCCAAATCTTAATTATATTTAGTGCGGTCAATGCAATTTCAGTTTGATGCAGAAGTGTCATAACATGCCTGATTAAACAGTGGCTGGTTTGGACAAATTTGTGTTTTATCTAGCTGAGTTGGAGTAAAGACTGTAAGAGCGAACTGAGTTGGAGACAAGTATCCGAGCAGATGTCTCCCATTTCTGAAAACAAAATTCTTTACATCATTTCACTGTGAAACCTGTGTTTTGAAAGACTGACTGGAAAAACATCTCAAGGTTGTATTTCCTGACCAAACAGTGTCTGAAACATTTCAGAGACAACAGTGTATGATTTCTACATATGCTCAGAGAAACAGGCTCCAGAACATCCTACATTTTATCCTTATTAAGAATAAACCTGAGTTTTTCTTTTGCATAAAGCCAATCTCTGAACGTAAATCATTTTTGCTCTCTTCATAATGTCTATGGTTTGTGAGCATATTTTTGGGTTACTTCTCTGTGTGTGTGCATGCGTGCGTGTGCGCATGTGTGCACGTGTGTGTGTAACTGTTGCTATTAGGAAGGCTAACGAAAATGTTAGCCCTTATTGAAACATGACTTAAACACTGGAGTAGTAAAGTCAGAGATAGTAAGAACTGCAGATGCTGAAGTCAGGGATAACGCAGTGTGGAGCTGGACGAGCACAGCAGGCCAGGCAGCATCAGAGGATGTTTAAAGTTGACGTTTCGGGTCAGGACCATTCTTCAGAAATGGGGAGGGGGAAGGAAGCTCAGAAATAAATAGAGAGAGGAGGGGTGGGGCCAGGTATGTAGGTGGGATGGTGATAGGTGAGTAGGTAGGAAGTGGTGGGGATTGGGCAGTGAGGTGGGAGGGGCGGATAGGTGGGAGAGAAGATTGACAGATTGTGTCAGGTCAAGGAGGCGGGGATGAGAGGGAGGGTTAGTCATGGGATGAGGCTGGGGGTGGGGGCCTGGTGGGGAGATTTTGAAACTGGTGAAATCCACGTTTAAGCCATTGGGCTGCAGGCTCCCGAGGTGGAATATGAGGTGCTACTCCTCCAGTTTGCGGGTGGTGTCATTGTGTCACTGGTGGAGGCCCAGGATAAACATGTCACCCAGGGAGTGGAAGGGGAGTTAAAATGGTTGGCAACCGGAAAGTGTTGTCATTAGAACACAGATGCTCTACAAAATGCTCTCTTCCTTCAAATGTATATGAGCTTGATAAACCACTTCTGGAGTACTCTATGAGGCATCTTAGGAAACGCACTGTTGCCATAGAGTGTAACATAGGTTTACTAAACTTGTTCCTGGGATGGCAAGGCTGTTCCTTGAAGAGAAATTAGGCAAACTTGGGCTTGTATTCTCTAGCATTTCAAAGAATGAGAGATGAAACTTACAAGGTACTTAAAGGGATAGACAGTAGATGCACGTTAAATGTTTCCTCTAGTTCAGAAGTCCAGAACCAGGATGCATAATTTTAAAATGACAGGGATGCCATTTAGGTCTGAAATGAGGAGAAACGTTTTACTCAGAAGGCTGTGAACCTTTGGAGTTCTGTACCAAAGAGGCCCATTGAAGCTCAATTTTTAAGTATGTTTAAAGGTTAAAACTTATAGATTATCAGCACTATACAGGGTTATGGGGATGGGGTGGGTAAAAGGCACTGAAGGGTTCAATCAGCTATAATCATACTGAATGGAGGGGCAGGCTCAATGGGCTAAATAGCCTATTCCTGCTCCTACTTCAAAGTAGTGAATCTTTATTCGGTAAGTTTTATTTTGATATTAAACTCATATTTGTGTACTGATCTTCATCCAACATAGCACATGATGTTAAATAAACCCATCAACAAACTTCAGCTTAGTACTAAAAAAGCACACAGCTTTTGCTTCAAAGCCAAGTTTTCTGTCAGCTTCAAATCACTGGTACAAGTCAAAGTTTCTCAGTGAGGCACATGACTGTTTTAGTGTGAAGTATGGCCATACTGTATACTTTTATATATCCCATCCTTCTGTTTGATTTCAGATTTCCTGTAAAAATTTTCAATTGACCATTTCATTGAATCAGTGACAAAGAGAAGTTCACAGCAATATTTTTAAAGCCACACTCAAGAATAGTTGGGCATAACTAGAGTTCTTCAGATCATTCAACACAAATTTTGTCAAATTCATTAACCTTTTAAATTTAATGACCTTTCCAGTCATATTGTTTCCAACCTTGGTCCAAACTTCGTCTGCCTACTCCTCTTGACAATTTATACTTCTTGGCTTCACATGTCTATATGTTTTCTTTCATGAAGAAATAAAGAGGCAGCGGACAGTTGGTTGGGAAGAAGGTGCTCCAGAAAACAGCAGAAAGTGCAATCAGCTGAGTGCTGCAGCCCAGACAGTAGGTTTTGGCAACACAGTTGGCTTCCCAAGATGTACGGCAATGATTGTGTAGCGTTTACCTAGTCTGAGAAAGCCACATCATACTACAGCTGAGTTCATCAATAGAAAAGGATTTCAAACCATTATTATGCAAGTCCTCTGTGATCATAGATGTCACATCTTAGATGTCTTCACCAAGTACCCTGGAAACTGTCATGATGCCTACCTATATAACCTATGCCCTTGAGAACTCTCATGTTCATGATGCATTGAGTAGCAAGATGCCTCGCAAGGTCTGGAGTCTCACATGGGCCTAATAAGGACAGTTGGTATCTTCCCTAAGAGACATCAGTGAACCCGTTGGGTTTTTCCGATAATAAAGCATGCTCCCAGTCATAATTAAACCCTTAATTCCAGATTTTTATTGAATCTGTCTACCATGGCAGGATCCGAACCCAGGGCACCAGAACATTACTTGGGTCTCTCTGGATTAATAATCTAGCAATAATACCACAAGGCCATTGTCTCCCCTATCTGTAACATCAGCCAGAAAGACAAGGCACCACCCCATACTTCAACTCTTCATGACTTTTCTCAGGTTACTTGTGCATTGCCCAATTGATCTTTAAGGGAGTGGTGTTTCAGGTACGGGCTAGATCTGTTCCAATGCAAAGGGGATTAAAGGTCCGGGAACAAAATCCTCGGTTCCTTGGATGATGAGGAAGATAAAGATGATGAAACAAAAAAAAGGGTGTACAGTGCAGTTCAGGTGAATTCCAGAACCAGGCTGAGTAAAACAAGTTTAGAAGGAAAGTGTAAAAGAAAAATAAAACAGCGGAAGAGAATATGAGAATAAAATGTCAGTTAACACAAAATGGAACCCAAAAATTTTCAAATGGCCTGTAAACATTAAATAGTAGGGTGGCAGATGAGGGACAAGGATGGTGGTATGTGTTTACAACATGGAGCCAAGATTAAAATATATGGAGTACTTTGTATTGATGTTTGTTAAGGATGATATGCTGACAAAATATCAGCAGAAGCACAGTTGACAGAGAAAACGGGCAGAGTAAAAATCTAAAGGCAAGATGTGGAGGGAAGGCTTGTTATAATGCAGACAGCTATGTCACCTGGGCTTGTAACCTATGTTACTAAGGGAAGTTGAGGTGAAGATAGTGCACAGGCTTGCAATATTCTCTAGAAATGGGGAATTGCCAGAACATTAGAAACTGGTAAATATGAAACTATTGCTCGAGAAGAGATGCAAGGATATTCATAGGGCAGTCAGTTTAACATAGGCTGTGGATGAGATTTTAGAAACAATAATCATAGTTGTTTCAACATCTGCTGAAGATACCAAAAACAGATATGACAGTGAAGATGATACTAACCAACTGCAACATGACAACAATCAGGAAGCCAATAGGCAAACAAAAGCAGATGAAATTTAATACAGAATTGCGAGGTGATGGGAGACAGTTCTTCATAAAAGCATAACTTAAGACTGCTTTATTGCTTAAAAGGCAAGTAAGCATTGTAGTTTATTCAGTAAGTAGCTCAGACAGCTGTTGCTATAAACTAATACAGCATAATTTCAAAATAATCAGACTTTATCTTGATAATACCACAGCATAGCAGCAACTAAAATATCAAACTATAATTTAAAGATATCCAGCTAAGGAATGCCTAACAGGTTGTAGATTTTGCAAATTAAAATAATCTTTATAAATAAAAATTGTTTTGTATAAGATCAAGTCACTTACTTTTTCAGAAGAAACAGAGAATGTATCAAAACTAGCATTTCCGAAGATAGCTTCTATCAGAAAAGTTATTTGTTGTGTCCGCTGCTTGCGTTCAGTGCTAGCTATCACAGGTTCAGGGTGCAGTGACCATTTACTCAAGTCATCACAAAGCTGAAATATTGGTAAAAAAAAAATGCAAAGTAAATATATTGTAGATCACAAGGTCACAGCTAGTGGCGCAAGTTGGTAAGTGAATCTAACCAACTGATGCAGGTTGACATGCTAATGTAAAAAAATTTTAAGAAAAAGGTGGTAAGGAAAAAGCCAGGGAACTATAGACCAGTGAACCTTACATCAGTGGTGGGTAAGTTGTTGAAGAGGATTCTGAGAATCAGGATTTACGTGCATTTGGAAAGTCAGGGTCTGATTAGGGACAGTCAAATCATTCAACAAGGTTCCACATGGTAGACTGGTTAGCAAGGTTAGATCATGAGGGATAAAGGGGAGCTAGCCAACTGGATACAAAATTGGCTTCAAGGTAGGAGATGGAGGATGATGGCCAGAGGGTTGTTTCTCAGACTGCAGGCCTGTGACTAATGGTGTGCTGCAAGGATCAGTGCTGGGTCCTCTGCTTTCTGTCATTTATATGAAACGATTTTGATGTGAATATAGGAAGCATGGTTAGTAAGTTTGCAGGTGACACCAAAATAGCTGGTGTAGTGGACAGTGAAGAAGATATTCTCAGGGTACCACAGGACCTTGATCAGATCAGCTAATAAGCTTTAGGGAGGCTGAATTTGCTGGGGCTTTTTACCCTGGAGCATCAGAGGCTGAGGGGTGACCTTATAAAGGTTTATAAAATCATAAAAGGCATGGATAGGGTGAATAGCTAAGGTCTTTTTCCCAGGGTAGGGGAGTCCAAAACTAGAGGGTATAGGTTTAAGGTGAGAGGGGAAAGATTTAAAAACGACCTAAGGGACAATTTTTTTTTAATGCAGAGGGTGGTGTGTGTATAGAACGAGCTGACAGAGGAAGTGTTGAAGGCTGGCACAATTACAACATTTTAAAGGCATCTGGATGGATATTTGGATATGAAGGGGTTAGACAGATATAGGCCAAATGCTGGCAAATGGCACTACAGCAGTTTAGGATAACAAGGTGTAGAGCTGGATGAACACAGCAGGCCA